ACCACCCCCCGCCGTCTCGGCCCCAGCCGCGGAGGCCTCGCCCCCTGCCTCTGCAGCCACCATCGCCGCTGCGGCGGCCACCGCCGTCGTCGCCCCAACCTCGACGGTCGCCGTGGCCCCTGTTGCATCTGCTTTGGAGAAGAAGACAAAGAGCAAGGGGCCCTACATCTGCGCCCTGTGCGCCAAGGAGTTCAAGAACGGCTACAATCTCCGAAGGCACGAAGCCATCCACACCGGAGCCAAGGCCGGCCTGCAGCCACCATCGCCGCTGCGGCGGCCACCGCCGTCGTCGCCCCAACCTCGACGGTCGCCGTGGCCCCTGTTGCATCTGCTTTGGAGAAGAAGACAAAGAGCAAGGGGCCCTACATCTGCGCCCTGTGCGCCAAGGAGTTCAAGAACGGCTACAATCTCCGAAGGCACGAAGCCATCCACACCGGAGCCAAGGCCGGCCGCGTCCCTTCGGGTGCTATGAAGATGCCCACCATGGTGCCCCTGAGCCTCTTGAGTGTGCCCCAGCTGAGCGGGGCCGGCGGGGGAGGGGGAGAAACAGGGGCTGGAGGCGGCACAGCCGCAGTGGCGGCGGGAGGCGTTGTGACCACGACTGCCTCGGGAAAGCGCATCCGGAAGAATCACGCCTGCGAGATGTGCGGCAAGGCCTTCCGAGACGTCTACCACCTGAACCGACACAAGCTGTCGCACTCGGACGAGAAGCCCTACCAGTGCCCTGTGTGCCAGCAGCGCTTCAAGCGCAAGGACCGCATGAGTTACCACGTGCGCTCACATGACGGCGCTGTGCACAAGCCCTACAACTGCTCCCACTGTGGCAAGAGCTTCTCCCGGTGTGCAGGGGCCTCGGCCACCTACTAGGCCGGTGGGGGGAGGGCATCGAGGTGGCCCGGCTTTGGCTGGTGGGAATGGAGGCGGCTCCTGAGACTGGACAGGAGCCACTCCCAGGGAGGAGGGAAGTCAGCCTTGCAGTTACCGAGAGCAGGGGGGTGGTACTTTGGCAGAGGAGGTGGGTCTTGGGTTGAAGGAAAGCCTTTGGGTGGAGAGGAATCCTGGTTTGAGAGATTTCCTAAGGACCCAGTCTGGGAGAAGGTGCAGGGACTTTGAAAGGAAAGGCCCTTTGGACGAAACTTTGGCAGATTTGGGGCATACCTCACCTTAGGGCCTTAGCTCTAACCCCTCACCCCAACATATCCCCAGGCCGGATCACCTCAACAGTCACGTCAGACAAGTGCACTCAACAGAGCGGCCCTTCAAATGTGAGGTAGGAAGCCCGCCTCCTGTCCTGGTTTTCATGATTTTGATCCTCATTGTAGCTGTCTGAGTTCAGCCTCTCAGACCCCCTTTTTCTCTCTCTTCTTTTTGCCTTTTCACTCCATTTTCTCATTCTTCAAGGCCTGGTCATCTCACACCCATTTCCTACAGATCAAAGATCCCCAAGACTCTGATCCCTTTAACCTCTTGCTCCCTTCTCCCTACTCCCCAAAGCTTTAACTCTCCTGTGACACCCCCCACGCCCCTCCCCCCTCCCCAGAAATGTGAGGCAGCTTTTGCTACGAAGGATCGGCTCCGGGCGCACACAGTACGACACGAGGAGAAGGTGCCATGTCATGTGTGTGGCAAGATGCTAAGCTCAGCTTATATTTCGGACCACATGAAGGTGCACAGCCAGGGCCCTCACCATGTCTGTGAGCTCTGCAACAAAGGTACATCCTGAGGAATGCAAGGAGGGCCAGGGACAAAGGGTGTGGGGCACAAAGCTGGTGACTTTTCCACAGATGTGGGTTAAGGGTGCTGTAGGCAAGAGCTCGTGGCTTGTAGACAGCCCTTTAGGAAGCAAGCAAAACAGCATTGGGAGCAACTGAACACTAAATTCTAAGAAGCTACGACTTGGAGGAAACAATCTCCCAGAGATTCAACCTCCTGGGTGTTTGTGGGAGAAGGGACGTGGGACACTGCCATTTTGGGAAAGGACTGATCAAGAAAGCCAGTCCCCAGAGTTTCAACTTTGCAGCCACAAGTTCTTGTCTCCAGCTCCTGGAGCAAGTGGAGTACAATCAGCATGGATGTGACACACTCTGCTCCATAGCAGAGAATGCTGTTCTCAGTGCCTTACATGCTAACTGCCTAAGACTGGGGCACTGGAGGGAGGGGACACAGCCGTCTCTACTGAGAATCAACCCTTCAACCAGATAGGCAGCAGAGTCCTGTCGCATGGGAAAGATCTAGTTACAGGGAAGAGCTCTGTAGATATTAAAGGCTAGGAAACTGGTACCACTCAGACCAGGCCCCAAGCTCAGGGAGGGGCTATGCCCCAGCAGAGTAGTTGACCCCAGCCTACCAAGGATGTGGTGGGAGGAGGACAGTGCCATGTGAGGAGGGTATCCCCAGCCTAGGAGAACAACCCCGTCTCTGGGGTCTCCACCTGGCTGACCCCCCCATCCCAATCCACCCCCCCATAGGCTTCACCACGGCAGCATACCTGCGCATCCACGCCGTGAAGGACCATGGGCTCCAGGCCCCGCGGGCTGACCGCATCCTGTGCAAGCTGTGCAGCGTGCACTGCAAGACCCCTGCCCAGCTGGCTGGCCACATGCAGACCCATCTGGGGGGGGCCGCCCCTCCTGTCCTGGGAGATGCCCCCCAGCCACAGCCCACCTGCTGAGGGGGACCCCTGCACCCACCAGGCAAGGCGTGGGACATGGCTGGGGGGGGCAGGACGGGGTGAGTGGGGCAAGGGGATTCAAAGGGCCCAGTAGGGGATTTTAGGAAGGCCAGGGATACCCATCTATCACTCAGATTAGGGAAACCTGGGGTCCAGGGAGGGCCCTATAAGAGAAGTATACAACCTGGGTAAGCTGGCAGGCCAAAAGCCTCTGGGGATCAGATAGGAAGTGAGCAACGGCTGTGTCCCAGGGGAAGTAGGGAAGTAGTTGGAAAGTCTAGGGTAAGGGATATTTTCTTGCCATTCAGGTTGTGCTGTGATCGGTGGTGTTTCTCACTGTAGGTACTGGTGAAGTTTGTCCAATGGCGGCAGCGGCGGCAGCAGCAGCAGCAGCAGCAGTGGCAGCCCCTCCCACAGCTGTGGGCTCCCTCTCTGGGGCAGAGGGGGTACCAGTGAGCTCTCAGCCACTTCCCTCTCAGCCCTGGTGAGCTCCAAGTTGATGGGGGAGAGGGAAGAATGGAGGAAAACCCTTGGTACAGTCTCCTCTCCCTCTTCCCACCAACTCACTATTCTCCATCAGCCAAGGAGCGTCCAGACAGAAAGAAGAAACGTGTTCTTAGAGGGAATTCACTAGGTTTTAACGATGTTTCTCCTGCTCCTCTCTTCTCCCTGTCAGAGCTGACCCTACATACACCTGTCCCCTCAGTTGTGTTGATGTCCCCTGGACAGTGGGCAGGGGTGGCAGAGGACAGCAGTAGCCACTGCCCTCAACCTTCTTTAACCCCTTGCCCTTTGTTCCCAGGGACTGTGAGCCTTTTCCCTTGATGGTCTTGTGCTCTCCCTCCTTCAGTCCTCCCTCCTACTGTCTGCAGCCCCTTCCTGGGGAGTTGGTGCTTTCTTTTTTTTGTTGTTTTTCATAGGGGGAGGGAGGAGAGAAAGGAGGTGAATCAAAGATTCTGTCCCAGAGGGAGGGTATTTGAGGAGGGGCAGAAGCAGGGAAGGCAGAGAGGTACTTTAAGTAAGGTAGGGTGGTCAGACTCTAAGCATCCTTACTGGAGTATCTGCCAGGGAAGAAAAGAAAAAAGTCAAGGGGAGCTAAAGAAGGAGCCACTAGGGCCAGAGGCAGAACAAGAGATGGAATCTTAGGGGGCCAGGGTAAAGGAGGGGAGGCCAAGGACTAGAGGTGCTTCCTGGGGGTGGGGGATGGTGCTTTCTTTTTTTGTTGTTTTTCATAGGGGGAGGGAGGAGAGAAAGGAGGTGAATCAAAGATTCTGTCCCAGAGGGAGGGTATTTGAGGAGGGGCAGAAGCAGGGAAGGCAGAGAGGTACTTTAAGTAAGGTAGGGTGGTCAGACTCTAAGCATCCTTACTGGAGTATCTGCCAGGGAAGAAAAGAAAAAAGTCAAGGGGAGCTAAAGAAGGAGCCACTAGGGCCAGAGGCAGAACAAGAGATGGAATCTTAGGGGGCCAGGGTAAAGGAGGGGAGGCCAAGGACTAGAGGTGCTTCCTGGGGGTGGGGGAATGCAGCCACAGTGTCTCCCCCTTCCCTCTTCCACCCCAGCTCCAGCCCTAGTCTTTTCTTCTTACTCTTCCCCATAACAGAAGCTATGGCCCTGGCCATGTCATCGTGTTCCTGTGTCCCTTGCATGTTCCCCACCCTCCACTCCCTCCTTTTGCGCGGACCCCATTACAATAAATTTTAAATAAAAACTTGGCTCAGAGTTCATGAGTTGTCCTCATCTGGCCTGGCCCTGAGAACCCCCACTGGGTATCTTTCTTGCCTTGCAGAGATGGGGCTCTGACTCCTCCTTCCTGACAGCTAGTAGCTGCAGCACCGATTTTGGGTGGAGCCCAAAATCCAGGGACTGTGGAAAGCAAATTCCAGGTCTCTCAAGAATACCCAATCTGGACAGGCCCAGAATAGCCACTGGAGTTTTGGGATGGCCAGGTTGGGTGGACATTCATGCTGTCCTCCCTCAGCAACACCCAGCAGCAGGCTGTACAGACCCCAGCCAGATCCTAGTTGGAGGGCTGCAGAAGGGTTCAAATCAGCTCTAGAATTGGGAGTAGTAAGATAGGGAATAACTGCATTCAATGCCCACTCTGTGGACCTGGCGTTTTCATGGGCTCAGCCCCAGCGACTTCAGCTGTTGCACAGTGGCCCTGCAAGACTTGCTGGAATTCCTTTTTTGACTGCTCTGACCTTTTCAGAGACCCTCAAGCTTCCATTACTCATTGCTGATGCTTCTCTGCGAATAGGGAAACTGGTTCTGCAGGTTCTCTTCTCTTGAGACCCCATACGCTTCCTCTGCAACCGCCCCCAATTTTGCCCTGTCTCCCTAATCCATCTATACCGCTTGTGGGTGCCATCACCTGGTCGTCTCCTCCCAGACTCGAGTCTTTGCCAGGACCCTTGGTGACCGTTGGCGGGAGGGGCTGAGGACTTAGGAAGGGGGTGCCCTGCCAGGAGGTGCGCGTGAGAAGGGGCAGGGAGGGGGCATGAGTGGTCCCCCGGCCGGTTGCCTAGGTAACGCGGGCCTGGCACGAGGCTCCCTAGGGCTGTCCGGGAGGGGCGGGAGGCGTGCAAGGGGCGGGGGCGGCGCGAGAGGCTGTGGAGCGTAGGGGAGGGGACCAGAGAAGGGCCGGGCAAACCGGAGAAGAGAAGAGGGGAGACCCGCCACCTCCCTCCTTTGCTCACTGACTTGCTCCCTTCCTGGTCAGCGGCTGCTGCAGTGGTGGCTTTGGGACTAGAGAGCAGTCCCGAAGCTGGCGGCTGGTGAGACTGGAACAGACAGAGGCTGCTTGCGGGTAGGAGTGGATGACAGACAGCTGGGTGGCATGGGAATGCGGGCGCCTGGCTAGCTATAGGGTGGTGCTGTGTGCGCTGCAGCATCGGGAGGAGATGGCCTCCCCCTGAACCACTGCTGGGGGCAAGGGGACCCCTGAGAGAGGGGCTAGGAAGAGATGCAGGAGATGCTAAGTCCCCCAGGAAGGGGCGGGGGTGTCTGTGCCCTAATGCGCAGCAGAAAACCCCGCACTGTTCAGGTGGGCGCTCAGGGAGGAGAGGAGAATGCTAAAGGAGTGGAATGCGTGGGGTCCCCCGCCCAGTCTGCTTGTTGGGAGTGTCTGGTACACGCACAGCTTGTTGATTTTGAGGTGGTGGGGCACCTTCAGAGTGGGATCAGAGTCTGGGTCTTGTTGGGTGTGTTGGATGGAGCCAGAAACAGACCCAAAGAGGTTACTGTGGAAAGGATTTATCTTCCCAGAGTTCCCCAAGCAAAAGGCTTTAAGTAGTGCACTCCTCCACCAGGGATGTCCCACCTCAAGGCAAAGGAACCCCCAACTTTTTTCCTCTCCCTAGAGACAATACAGGCTGACCCTGAGACAGGAGCCTAGCCCTCTTGGACCTGTGATGCTGAGAGCCCCTCTTCCTCCTCACCAAGCCTGTCTCCTCCTCTTACAGGATTTGCCAGTCTCTGCTGTTCCCACTTTCCCACGGGGGGCCCTCTCCCATCTCCCATCTCAAGATGGCAGCCAGCACCTCTGAGGTCTCTGAGATGAAGGGGGTGGAAGACAATTCCAAGACCCAGAGAGAAGGACCTGGCCATTCTGAAGCTGGACTGGCCCCTGTCGAGGTTGTAGCAGGGATCCCAGACCAGCCAGAGGCCCTTCAGCCAGGCCCAGACATCACTGCAGCCCCTGTGGACTTAGGGCCTAAGGAGGGGCTGGCCCCAGAAACCACAGAGACCCCAGTTGAGGCCCCAGAAACAGACCAGGCTACAGACCTCAGCTTAAACCCAGGAAGGGAATCCAAAGCCAGCTCCAGCCCTAAAGAAGCATGCCCAGCACCAGCATCTAAACCAGAAGTGAACAAAGAGGCTGCTGCAGAGCAGGGATCTGAGCAGGAGCCTGTAACCCCTCCTGAGCCAGCCTCAGAGCCTACTTCCCAGCCAAATACCCAGTCAGACTCAGACCCTCAGCCAGCTTCCCAGTCTGCTCCAAAGTCAGCTCTTCAGCCAGAGCATCCCACCCAAGAGAACCCTACCCCTGAGGTCCTGAGAGAAAGTATGGGGGAAAAGCAAGAAAATGGAGCAGTGGTTCCTCTTCAGGCTGGTGATGGGGAAGAGGGCCCAGCCCCCCAGCCTCATTCACCACTCTCAACCAAAACGCCCCCAGCCAATGGGGCTCCCGCCCGTGTGCTGCAGCAGCTGGTTGAGGAAGACCGAATAGGAAGGGCACACAGTGGGCATCCAGGATCTCCCCGAGGTAGCCTGAGCCGCCATCCCAGCTCCCAACTGGCAGGGCCTGGGGTAGAAGGGGGTGATGGCACCCAGAAACCTCGGGACTACATCATCCTTGCCATCCTGTCCTGCTTCTGCCCCATGTGGCCTGTCAACATTGTGGCCTTCGCTTATGCCGTCATGGTGAGCCCCAAGGGACCCTGGCCCAGGCCAACTGTGGCTCCCAGCTCCCTGCCAGTGCCAGGACAGAGCCCTAGGAATAAGGATGCCTTCCCTCACCTCTGCATGGATCCCACCTTCCCAACTGCAGGGCTTTTGCTTGCCTCTCCCTAGGACCAAACCCTCCAAGCTTGCCCTTTAGGTGGGAGGGATGTAGAGACATCTCATATAACCTTGCTGACTTGTGCCCTCTCCTCCCTGCATCCCCAATCCCCCTTCCTTCCATGACCCCATGGGGATGACCTCCCTCCTCTGGACAACTCTCACCTGATCCCTGCTGGGCTGGCTTCTGCTGATCTGGGCCATGGTACCTCCAACCCCTCTCCCTCACTCCAGTCCCGGAACAGCCTGCAACAGGGGGACGTGGATGGGGCCCAGCGTCTAGGCCGGGTGGCCAAGCTCTTAAGCATCGTGGCACTTGTGGGGGGGGTCCTCATCATCATCGCCTCCTGCGTCATCAACCTAGGCGGTGAGTGGGGGTCAGGGACAGGCAGGGGAGGTGTGGAAGGGTTGACCAGGGCAGCTTTACTAACCCCTGACCCTGCTCTCTCCTGTCTGTCCTCCCCACTTCTTTGTCTCTTCCCCTCTCCTCCCCTGTCTGTCCTTCCCTCTCCTCTCCCACAGTGTATAAGTGAGGGGCTCTACCCTGCATTCCAAGACTTTTCTTCCTGTTGGGAGCTGCCTTGGGCCCATCCCTCCCCTAAGGGAAGCCCAATCAATGGCTCTGGCCCCCATCCCTAGGGACCAAGGGAACCTGGCAGCCTTGTTTACAGCTTCTTTCCTGCTCCTGCATCCTGTCAGGCTCCTCTGCCAACAGTAGGCCTCCCTTCTTCCTGCACTGTTTCCAACCTCCCTGCACTTTTGCCTGCAGACCTCCCCAAGCCTGCACTTTGGAAACCTCTCTGCACTTCTGGAAGCCTTCCCAAACATCTAAACCGTACTCTCTGACCCTCTGCATCTCTCTCCACCTCCCTGCACTTCTTCCAGCCTCTAGAATCCTCTGAACCTCAACCTGGCCTCCCATTCCCAAATTTCATTGTCTTGGCATCTAACCCATGCCTTTCCTCTTCCCTTCTTTAACATCTTTTCTCCCTTGCCACATCCCCCGCTCCTTTCCTTTTTCTGCCTTCTCATCCTCCCTTAGCATCGTCTTCATCCTCTTGCCACCATTTATTCTGCAAAAACTCCAGCACTTAGAACCTGCTGGGGAGGAAGGGGGAGAGGTCCACCTAATTGGGGGCTCTGACTGTTCTCTGCTGAGACTACCCTGGCCCAGACCATCCCTCCCCAGCAAGGTGCCTATTGGGTCGCAGAACCGGAAAGCCAGGCCTCACCTGGGGGACTTGCACAAGAGTGGGAGTCCTCCTTCTGAATATCCAGGGGAGGAAGGAGAGCCGCGACCGCTAAAGGGTCAGCCTAAGTTGACCTGCCCATCTGGGCTTTTTAACCTCAGTTTCTTGTTTGAAGGTGTCGGGGGCGGGGGATTCGGGCTGTTCACATGCTTTATAAACAGAAGAATTTAAAAAAAATAAAAAAGGATCAAAACTCCCAGCTGCAGGGAGGGAAGGAGGAAGGAGGGGTAGGGGAACTCTATAATTATAATTTTCTAAAAGGACTAGGGAGGTTTGTTGCACGCGACATCCGGCTGAGGAGGCAGGGAGCCAGCTGCAACGCCTTTCGGAGTTGGCAGGGGTTTTCTGTTTTTGTTTTTCCTTTCTTTCTTAAAAAAAAGTCCGGGGGGAAACTAAAATTCCTTTCAAAAAAAAAATCAAACTGATTCTCCCTTTTTGTATGCTGAATGCTGCATGAGTCTTAAACACCAATAAAAGGAGAATGCATGAGACTCGCCTCTAGTCTCAGTTGGTCCCTGTGTTCATTTGCGGGGGTCAAGGCAGGGCCTCCCGGAGTAAGCATGCGCTGTCGCAGAGGCCAGCGTTAGTGTGGGCCGAAGACCGCGATGCCCAAGGTCCCATCTGCGCATGTGCAAGCCTTCCGTTGCTTTCTTTTTCTAAGTAGCAGGGGCAGGAGTGGCGCCTCCCGGCGCCTTTTCCGTACGTCTGCGTACTGCGCCGCTGCGCAGCCTGGGAGGCGGGTTTTAGCTCCAGGTTTTACGGCGGACGTGTTTCTGATCTGGGAGGTCCATGGGAAAGACTTCGATGCAGGTGTTGGAGACGGCGGAGTGACGGCGAGAAAGCACCCCTTCCCCGGTCCGCCCCGGGCGTGGCTCTGCGGGTGGCCGGGAGCGGCTGGATCTCTGTCCGCGGGTGGGGTCTGTCCTGGCAGGGGACCGAGCGCCCCCTCCTGGGTGCTCCGCCCGCAGAGACCGCTGCCGGGGACTGATTGGTTGGACTCCCCGGCCCGGTGGAGCGCAGTCCTGTGGGGGAGGGATTCTGGTGCGGTACTGCAGCATCTCCTAGATCGCTGCGCCCTACTCCATCCTCCATGTCCCTTGCCCTGGGTCCTGGAACTATTGCAGACACCACGGCGGTGCCTCTGTCTGAAGAAGGGGAAGTGACTTCCGGCCTCCAGGCGCTGGCGGTGGAGGACACCGGAGGTCCCTCTGTCTCGGCCAGGAAGGCCGAGGACGAGGGGGAAGGAGGCCCGGAGGAGGCCGGGCGTGAGGGATCCAGGGCCGAGGAGGGACACGGAGACGCACCCAGCGCTGGGAGGGACGAGCGTGCGGAGGGAGAAGCCGAATACTGGTGCGTGCCCTGCAGCGATGAGGAGGTGGAGCTACCTGCGAATGGGCAGCCCTGGATGCCTCCGCCCTCCGAAATCCAGCGGCTCTATGAACTGCTGGCTGCTCAAGGTACCCTGGAGCTGCAAACAGAGATCCTGCCCCGCCGGCCGCCTACGCCCGAGGCCCAGAGTGAAGAGGAGAGATCAGATGAGGAGCCGGAGGCCAAAGAAGAGGAGGAGGAAAAGTGAGGGCACAGCTTTACACTTGTCCCTGGGACTACTCCTCAGCTCAGAAACTGGAGGGAGGAAGGAGCAGGAGAGGATGAGCCAGCAGGCTTGGGTGTACCAGCGGGTGTTTGGGAGGGCCAGCCTCACCCTTCACTCTTTGTCCACCCTGTCCCAGGCCACACATGCCTACAGAATTTGACTTTGATGATGAGCCAATGACACCAAAGGATTCCCTGATTGACAGGAGACGGACACCAGGTATGAACCAAAGGGAAGAATTGAGGAGAGATAAAGGGCCTCCTGGTTATCCCTAACGTAGTTCCTCTAAAGAGCCGTTTGTTGGGGGGCCGTAGCTGCTGCACACCTTCTCCAGCAGCAGCATCTTTCTAGCTTTGGTTACCGCCCCACCTTCCTTAGAGACTGTCACCGTTCTAGTAGGTTTTCCATTCCTTTCATCTTATTTCCAGAAGTCTAAGGTTTTCTGATTATTTTACTCTAGATTCTGTATTACTGTGTATATCAGCTATTATGGCCCAGTATCCCATCCCACATGCCTTCCTAGAATGTTAGAATCATTCTTGAGTTTCCTCTCTTTAGCTAGTCAAGTCAGCAGAAAGTCCTGTTAGCTCTGCTTCCACAAATCCACTGTCAATACCATCTCTTGCTTGGCAGTTTCCTCCGTAGTTCTAACTTGTACTTTCTGCCTCTAGTTTCAACCACCAGAGTAGCCTTTAAAATAAATATCAGAAGCTGGAGAGCTGGATCAGCGGTTTAGAGCACTGGCTGCTCTTACAGAGAACTGGGATTTGGTTCCCAGCACCCACATGGCAGCCAACAATTGCCCTAACTCCAGTTCTAGGGGATCTAACACCCTTTTCTGACCTCCACAGGGATTGCACGACATGAGTGCACTTAACATGCAGGCAATATACCCATACACATAAAATAAAAATAATAAATAGATAAATAAATCATTGCTAGGGGTGGTGGCTCACACACTCGGGAGGCACAGGCAGGTGGATGTCTGTGAGAGCAAGGCTAGCCTGTTCTACATAGCAAATTCAGGTCAGCTGGGACTAGAGGGAGACTGGTCTCAAAAAACCAAAACAACAATAATAAAACTAAAATAAATCATGTCATTTCTCTGCTTAAAATCATCCAAAGGATTCCATCACAGGAAGAACATGTCCACGGAGATCTAAGTCACCCCTTTCCCACCGCTCCTCTGTAGTCTTTGTTCCTGCCCCAGGATCTTTGTACTTGCTCTTCACCTGTTATGTTTCCTCTCTTCACATTACTAGTGCCTTGTCATGATTAAAGACCTTTAGCACCCATCCTATGGGTTGCCCAGCCCCAAATCTTAGCACCTCTGTACCAGCGGCTAAAATCTGTATGTTAAACATCTCCCTAAGTGTAGGACGCAAGCAGGAGGAATGCACACTGTCTCAGTTCTTTCACATTTCCTACCTTTGTCAGGAAGCTCAGCCCGGAGCCAGAAACGTGAAGCCCGCCTGGATAAGGTCCTCTCAGACATGAAGCGACATAAGAAGCTGGAGGAGCAGATCCTTCGGACTGGGAGGGACCTCTTCAGTCTAGACTCTGAGGGCCCCAGCCCTGCCAGCCCCCCACTCCGGTCAGCAGGGAATAGTCTCTTTCCCCGGCAGCGGAAGTACTGACTGTCGCTGCTCCTGCCTCCAGTATAGACTAATCTACCTGGGAGGGCCTGGCTGGCCTTTCCCAAAAAGGACTTAAAGGAGGCTTGGAGAGAGAGAGAGAGAGAGAGAGAGAGAGAGAAAAGTAGTGGTGTAGAGAGAGAGAGAGAGAGAGAGAGAGAGAGAGAGGAGAGAGAGAGAGAGAGAGAGAGAGAGAACAGAGGAGACAGAGATTGTTATGTGTTTTCTGCTGACTGTTTGCAGCTCTGTGCTGGATTTTCTGAGTCTATAATAAAAGATGCAGAGTATCTTTCCCTTAGGAGAGACTGCAGCCAGAACCTAAACAGTTGTCCACACTTGTGCAGAGAAATAGAATTGGTTTTGGTTTGTTTTTTGTTTTTTTGTTTTTTTGTTTTGCAGCTTAGTTATATTTATATTCTTGGAAATATTGTTATATTGCTTTTCTTAAAGTATTCTTATAAGAGAAGACTGTGATTTTTATCAATTGAATCTGAAACTGTAATTGAGATTTAAGAGGATGGAAATAAATGGAAAGCCTGAGTGTGTGTATTTTACCTTTACGTCTGTCCTTGGTGTCCTGCTTTGCTACAAAGTATTATAAATCAGTGGTTTTTATTAAGATGGGTGGGTGGGGGCCAGAGAGGTGGTCAGCAGTTCAGAGGACCCAAGTTCAGTACCCAGCACTCACATGGCAGCCCAAAACTGTTAACTCCAGTTTTAGAGGATCTGATGCCATGCATGGGTACCCTTACATACATGCAGCCAAAACACTCATACACATAAAAATAGAAATAAATAAGCACTTGAGAGGCAGAGGCAGGCAGATCTTTGTGAGTTTGAGGCCAGGCTGGTCTACATAGTGAGTTCCAGGACAGCTGGGGCTACAAGGAGACCCTGTCTCAGAAAAGATATATATACACACACACACACAAAGAAATAAGTAAATTTTTAAGATGGGTGGGTGGTGGGCCAGATGGTTTACTGGCTAAGAAAACACTGCTCTTACAGAGTACCAGAGTTTGGTTCTAAGCACCCAAGTTGGGTGGTTTATAGTTGCCTATAACTCCAACTCCAGGGGGATCCAGGGATATTCAATGCCTCTGACCTCTGTGGGCACTGGTGCTCACATACACACAATTTACAGCATTATTATGCCAACATCATAATCACCTAACAAATAGACTGACTCTTATTTTGCTTTGTGTATATGAATGTTTTGTCTGTATGTAAGTACACCATGTGTATGCAGTGCCTGTGGAGGCCGGAAGAGGGTGATGGATTTCCTGAAACTGGAGTTACAGGTGGTTATTAGCTGCCATGTGGGTGCTGGGAACCAAACCCAGGTGTTCCCCAGGGGTTCTGGTTCCTACAAGGGGCTGGGCCTGCTGCAGAGAATTGACTGGAGAGTTAGCCTCGGAAGGAGGGGCTTGTGGCGTCATCTTGGAATGGAAGGCCTAAGCCGCCAGGAACGTGCTGCAAAGGGCAGGGTGTACTCAAGGACAGAATGGCCTGGCACTTATGGACCTGGGGTGAGACCACTGGCCCCTGAGGCATGGGGGGAAGCTAGCAATGACTATGACTATGCTGTGGGAGGGATCTGATATGGCGGACTCTGAGCCTCAGTGCAGAGCTGAGCAGTGCGGTGCTTGAATGGCACAGAGCTAGACACTGGGTGCTCGTTTCTTGGTAGGTCACTCCTCTCCCCCACCTCCATTATAATAATAAGTGCACATAAAGATATGTTATATGGTTTACCTGATAGTGCAAGAGATCCAGAGAGAACTCTTGACACTAGGTCATCTGGAAGAGCAGCCAGTGCTCGTAACCACTGAACCATCTCTCTGGCCCCTAGACTGATTCCTAAGTTAAGTTTTTTAAGAGTGAGCCTGAACTCAGAGGACACTACCCTCCCCTAGGTAACTATTAGAAATATCTGTGTCCCAGAACTGTGTGGATTAATTGCTCTTGCTCCCTCTACCTGTGCAGATGGAGCTGTCTGTGTTTTCACCCTGTACTGATTAAACTGTCTCTGGAACCCTGCATCTCCTAATGTGTCCCATCCCATCTGTCCTATCCTGCCCAACACCCATAATTTATTCAAAATGGTTTCTCCAGCTTCATTGGAAAAGTACAAATTCAAGTTCAGCTCCACTCTTAATCTTCATAGACCATCTGGTCTTTTCATCCCTAGTATTTCATTCCCAAGGTCACATGTACTTTCCCAATCTCCACTGTGTCCAATGGAGATGGGTGGGTATGCTGCTGTCGGTGCTTTGTTATGTTAATTCTGAAGGATATCCACATTCATTCATTTTTTTGGGGGGTGGAATACCAAACTGAGGTTGCCAAGGAGCTGCCCCAATCATCAGCCCCATGCTTTTACTGGGATTAATTAGCAGTCCAGATTATATCCATTAATAAAAGTCAGTCCTACAACAATTAAAAATGATAAAAGTAAACTGGGCGTGGTGGTGCACGCCTTTAATTCCAGCGCTTGGGAGGCAGAGGCGGATGGAGCTCTGTGAGTTCGAGGCCAGCCTGGTCTACCTAGCGAGTTCCAGGACAGCTGGGGCTATAGGGAGACACTGTCTCAAAGACAAAAATAATAATAACAATAAAAATAGACTTTTTTTTAAAGAGTGAAATTAAGGGACATTTTTCATTCAGTGTAGAGCCCATGTGTAGCCCATATACAAAGGGCCTCAGATGAATCTTTGCACTTGGCTCTAATGAAATGCCCACGGAAGTAACTTAGAGGAAGAGGAATTTATTTTAGCTCCTGGTTTCAGAGCTTCACTTCATAGTTGCTTGGCACCATGCACATGGGTAAAACCTCAGAGTAGCAATGGCCTCTGGTGGTGGTGGCAGTCTGTGGCACTTGTGGTCAGCCTTTGGTGGAGGCTGTTCTTCACTTCCTAGAAGACCAGTGACAGAGTAGGATAGGATGTGGCAGAGATAATACACCCACAAGGACCCATCTAGGCAACATGCTTCCCTCAGCAAGGCCCTACCACCTAAGTTTCCACAGCCTACCAAAATGTTGCCATTATCTGTAGACTAAGCACTTGAAATAGGAGCCTGAGAAGCTGGATATGATGGCTCACACCTGTAGTCCCAGGACTTGGGAGGTGGAGGCAGGAAGATCGGGAGTTCAAGATTATCCTCAGCTTCAGAGTGAGTTCCAGACCTGCCTGGATTACATAGTTCCAGGCCAGCCTGGGCTACACAGCCAGACCCTGTCTCAAAAAAGAAACAAACAAAACTTTCCACAGAACTACCTGGCCTATAGTCATGTCTAATCTTTTGTTTCGTTTTGTTTTTATTTTTTATTTTTTAAAATTATTTATTTAATAACCACATAATTAGAAGAAGCATTTCATTACAACAGCATTGACATATTCAATAACAATTTCCAGAGCTAAGATATATCTCTTTCAAAATTGACTGTAAATTTTTAGGTTCACAGTTGAATTAATACAGTTATACAATATTGAACTCTGTATAAAGCCCATAAGACATAAAATTGAATGAGGTTTTAACCTTTAAGAAACATCTGCATTTCATTTTAAAATATATTGTTTCATACAGAAAACAATATCATTTTTAATGCTACCAACACTTAGATGTTTGCATATGCATCTCTAATCTCTATGTACCTGAGTATTACTAGTCAGAGTCGGTTACTTTCTGAGATCCTTGGCACCTGAGCATGGATATAAGGTCATCAGGTAGATTTTAATGGTAGTATTTTTCACCTCTACTAATTAACATGAAGCAAATTTTTATGCTTCTTCCTCAAATATAACAAATTTTTTATTTGTTGATTTTTTGTGTTTTTCATACAGAACATCACAAACAATCTTATTCATCTACATACCCACATCCCAAATGACAGCCCCCATAAACTTTCCCCCCTCCATGGACCCGTATACTTTGTCATCCCTGTTATTGTCCACTGTGTTGTTGGTGCCCCCAGCCATTTCCCAGTGCTCGTCCATCCACTGAATCTTGTCAGCCTATCTAGAGTTCCTTGTTTTAGGGAGCTCAGATCTTCCTCATCTAGCAGCAATCAGTTGCCAGTATTCCTTTAGAAAATATTAGGGTCTGATGTTCATTGTCCCAATTCTATGCTGGGTCAGTTTTTACCCTTTAAAGAAGATCTCCATTTCATTTGAAAATATGTTGTTTCCTACATTTTTTTAATTAAAAAAAAATTTTAGAAGCATATCATTACAGCTTTAATATGCTCAATAACAGTTTCCAGAGCAAAGATACAGCTCTTTCAAAAGTGGCTATAAAATTTTTAGGTTCATTGTTGAATTAATACAGTTATACAATATTGAACTCAGTATAAGCCCTGTAAGACATAAAATTGGATGAGTTTTTAACCTTTAAAAAAGATCTCCACTTCATTTTAAAATAAAATGTTTCTTACAGAAAGACTCATTGTTTTTGCTACTAACACTGAGATGTTGGTGCATTGGTCTCTAATCTGTATGTATCTGATTATTACTAGTCATAATCAGTTGCACTTGGATCCTTGGCACCTGTGTATGTCTATGAAGTCATCAGGTAGATTTCAATGATAAGGTTCATCACCTCTACTAATTAACATGATGTAAACTTTTATGCTTCCTCCTCAAATATAATACATTTTTTAAAATTTGTTGATTTTTTTTTGTGTGTGTATATCACACAGAACATCCCAAACCATCTTATTCAACTGTACACCCACTTCCCAGATGGCACCCTCCCATAGCCACCCTTCATCCACTAGAGCCCTTATACTCTGTTATCCCTGCTACTGTCCACTGTGTTGTCCCCCCCCCAAGCTGTTCCCCACTACTTGTCCATCTGGTGAATCTAGTCAGTTTATCTAGAAGTCTTTATTTTAGGAAGGTCAGTTGTTCATCATCTAGCAGCAATCAGTTGTCAATATTCCTTTAGATAAGATTGGAGTCTGCTGTTCATTTTCCCAGTTCTATGCTGGGTTACTATCTGGGAGTCCCTTTGGCCACCCTGGCCAACAACTCAAAAGAAGGTATCCCCTATCTGGCATTGTTGCTTGTTATGTAGCCTTTAGCTATACATATGGACTCTCAAAAAAATATATTGGCCCCTTTAATCTTTGGTTATACTTTCCTTTTGGGTGTCTAAGGCCATACAGTTGGCCCAGATAAACCAATTTATTTTTACTCTTAAGGTCATTTGAGGATCTGTTCCTCAGGGGTCACATGGACTTGAAAGGAGCTCTTGGCCCCTTTCTTTTACCAGTTCCACCTATGTGAGGATAAGTCAAAGGTCCTACTCGACCGTGGCTGGCTTCACTTGGAAGTATGGAGGAAATGATTCCTCTGTGTTGACCCTCCTCTTTGTAGACTGGACACTAGTTCAAGTCCATCTTGTGGGGTCTCCTCAGCCTCCTTGATCAAGAGGACAGGTGACCCACCACAATTACAGGACAATTTTGGAGATGCTCATAGTCCCCTGGAACTAGTCGACCTAGGAGGGCAAGGAACAAAAACTGTCTTTTATGTCTCTCTGTCCAATTAGTATAGGC